ATATATATATATACTTTTAAGAATGACTTTTAAGGACGAGGCCTTAGTTGAGTTTCACTTGAAACAGCGGATAATTTCTCTTGGACTGCGTCAACCTGAAGGTTGTAGTGAAGCTAAACACCAGTTGTCTTCTGGTCTGCTCGATTTATCACTCCTTTAATCACACACTTTCATAATGAATGAAAGTCTCAACAAAATTTTGTATTTACTTTTGGCGTATAGCAAATTTGCTGCCCAAAATTTAAGTGTATCTGATCAACTATTTACTACTGCTTACTTATTAAAAAGTCTCTAATCTATGCAGACTGTGTAGGGCACTGTCGAGCTCACTCGTTTTAGGCAACTTTCTGAGGGAGGCAGTCTCGCTGAGATGTGCCCCAGTCGACATTATTTTACAAAGCGCCTAGTTCAGAAGGTCTGTTGAACGAATGACATATCGTTCAACCGAATCCCGTCATGGCAGCAGTCGTCAAGCTGTACATCTTCACGGGTCAAGCCGAGTCGGCCCCTCTTTCGCTTCGGCAATTAGGTACCCTTTCAGCCTGCACATCTGCTCCAGAAAGTCACCAAAGTATCATTTCGACCCTCAGACTTCGGTGACCTCCGATGCCAGTATTCGTCAGAGCAGACGGCCACTTGTAGCCCAAATGATGCCAGTCTTACTTGCAGATTAACGGCCGACCGGTGTGTGTAAGTGTGTGTGTGTGTGTTTGGGTGTGTTGTTCCCTGCATTTGTCCAGCCGAGTGTGAGATGGACGGGAATATGAGACACCCAAGGAGGGAGCAAGACCGAAAGAAATGCAAATTTCTTCTTATTGGCATAGTAATTGCCATCCATTTGGCTAAGGCCTCTTTACAATCGATATACCCTCATCGCTTGTAGCTATGACTATACATGTTTGCATATACATGTGTGTCTTAATGGGCCAACATAGAGCTCAAGATGAATATCACATCTTGGCAGACTAAGTGGATTGACTTTTACAACATTTCCACCTGTAAGCTGTCACAAAGCTGTTCCGACTGACGATGATCACCTCTCGGAATTCTATCATCTCCCTCGGCGTCCTTGCTGCCGATCGCTGTTAAAAGTACGAGTCCACCGCAACCTTCCGCCTGCACCAACTTGATCCGATCAACAAAAGTGGATCTATCCTGCCTCCCCGTTGATTTGGTCAATTGCCAAATGTTCCCGTGAGAGCAAGTCTATGGAATGGTGCCACGCCGAGAGGATTTATAGGAAGACTTTAACCCATCCTCGGTACATGGTAGGTTCTCCTTCTATGTCTTCCTTGAGGGGAACCTGATTGATAATGAGGCCGATGATACTACTTATAAGTATGCCACTTGATTAAATGATGCTGTGCTAAAAGGAAGGATGTAAGCATCCAAAAAATAGATTAAATGAGGAAAGCTGTCTGACAGAATTTTTCAATTATCTTTAGCCCTAAGCTATTCTATCATGCATTTGGAATTGTGGAGAAACAGCGCGGAACAAATTTGATTTATTTTCCATTCTAGTACCTTTAAAGGCTATCAGTAATTATTGTTGAGCCTACTTCCATTTCGAGTGAAAGTATTTAGTGAAGAGCTTCTAAGGTCGATTCCACCAGAAGACGACGGCGGATTTCTCTTGACCAGCTGTCGATTGGCTTTACTGGAAAATTCATCTGACGCTGTTTCCGAGGTAATCTCCTTTGATTTCGGTAAAAAAAATTGCATAGCTTTCGTCCGTCATATGACAAACATAATTAGAGCAAGGTATCGTCGTCACAACTAAATTCAAGCCAACTAGTCAATAAAAAGCACCAGAACATCCATAGAAAGCTGTATATATACTTTATATATGGCTTATTTGATCAGGTAGAAAAGTCATTTGGTTAGTTACAGTCATATTTCCGCTGTCGTATTCTGGTGGAATCGAGCTTCAAATCTATTCACCATAAGCTTTCATTATAAATAGAAGTAAGCTCAACAACTATGAAACAAGAGATTCCTCGGGACCCAACTTTTATTCGCATATCAGTCATTAGTAAATTAAATATATGGTCATGTAAAGTCGCTTAAGTTGATTTAAGTAGTGGCAGCAAAATTACCAAAAATGAACGGAGTATGCTTCCCGATGCCAGTAAATTACATTTAACCAAGCATTGCAAAAGGTTTTCCCATCCAGGCCTTTTATTGCTAAATAATTATGAGTTGTGTTCACCATAATTCGTTTAAGGTGATGAAGGACTGGTAGAAGAATTTTCCCACAATGTTATGAGTAGAGCTGATGTCTCCATTGAATTTCACATAGCATTGTCTTCCAAAAAAGTGTTCTCATTCAGGCTGAAGTGGACTACAGTTTCGACTTCGTATAGGTCTTATTAACACCCAAAGTGGAAGTCGAATCATGGCAGTTCAGTGTGTAAGCTAGATACGTTAACCACTACGCCACATTGCCACATGTACAATTGGGTCACAAGGCAGATGTGAATTGTATGGA